AATAATTATTATTTATGGTGTCAGAGGGGTCTTTCCTAGACTTATTGGATTGAACCCTTAGTAATTTATAGAAATGTATACTCACTATATTGTACACCTGAAAGTAATACAACATTGTAACTCAACTGTAATTGAAGGATTAAAATAATTTTTTTTAAAAAAGGTCTATGCCCTGGCCAGTGTGGCTCAGTTGGTTGGGCACTGAAAGGTTGCCAGTTCCATTCCTGGTCTGGGCCCATGCCTGAGTTGTGGGCTCAATCACAAGTAGGGGGCATGCAGGAGGAAGCCAATCAATGTTTTTATTCTCACATTGATGCTTCTCTCCCTCTCCCTACTCTCTCTTTAAAAACATCTATTAAAAATATTTTAAAAAATAAAAGGTTATGAGATGGCCAAATTAAATAAAACATCTCCCATTAAAATAAAAATCTGAGTTGAGATGGACTCAACTAATGGAAGATCTTCAGCCTTTCTGAACTTTATAAATAAGTATTTTGTCTTAGGGAGTTCCTAATCACCATAGGTGTAGGGTAGGCAACAACGGTCATAATAGCTATGGATACATAAATATATACAAATTCATACATATACCAACATATGCACATGGAGATACACACATATAAAAGAGCCCATAGGTACATAAGTGAAAAGATTATTTCATGGAAGATAAAGACAAAACATGAAACTAGTGCTGGATTATAAAATTTAAGTTGGTGGGCAGAGAATTTATAGAATAAAAGTTTTATGGTCACTGAAGCAAGTGAAATATTTCAGTAATATTTTAAAAAACATTTAAATAATCTATAAGTTATTCTATACAATCACAATAACAGGATCTTCTAAGATATACAACTTTTTCTTTTAAATTTAATAAACTAACAAACACTGGAGTACCGTTTTTAGGAAAACTTTGACCATGAATAATACTATATACATATATGTCTTTAAGCATTTAGAACAGTGGTTCTCAACCTTCTTAATGCCGCAACCCTTTAATATAGTTCCTCATGTTGTGGTGACCCCCAACCATAAAATTATTTTCATTGCTACTTCGTAACTGTAATTTTACTACTGTTATGAATCGTAATGTAAATATCTGATATACAGGATGTATGTAGGCAACCCCTGTGAAAGGGTCGTTTGACCCCCAAAGGGGTCATTACCCACAGGTTGAGAACCACTGATTTAGAATCAAAATATAAAAAGATTATATCAGGGGTCCTCAAACTACGGCCCGCGGGCCACATGAAAATACAAATATTGTATTTGTTCCCATTTTGTGTTTTTACTTCAAAATAAGACATGTGTAGTGGGCATAGGAATTTGTTCATAGTTTTTTTTTTAAACTATAGTCCGGCCCTCCAATGGTCTGAGGGACAGTGAACTGGCCCACTGTTTAAAAAGTTTGAGGACCCCTGGATTATATCAATGAATGCAGTATGAGAGAGAGAAATAGTAAAAAGAAAATTCTTACCTCATTGATCAAGAATTGGAGCTGCAGGACAGCTGCACCACTTTCATGTTGGCAATAACAATCAACACCAGGTCTCCCAAGTCTAATATAAATAAAAGTCAAGGATTCTAACATTTTAATTAGCACTTTTACTAACAAGAAAAAAATAAGCTAACTTACTTAATAACTGATATTTTGCTTTTCAGTTATCCTAACTTTTGAAAATAAAGAATTGAAAAATCTTAGTCTTTGTTAATGCAAATTGCATTTTATAGCACGGGATAACAGCAAAATGGCCAAATAATACATCCCTCACAACAAAAATAATCTGGCATCCATACACAGACAAAGTGGCCTTCATGGAAGTTTACTAGATTCAAGTAGATTGTGAAACCCTTCGGCAGTCCCAGAATGGAGAGAGCCATTTTGAGAAGGCAGACTGCAAGGATTGGGCCGAATCCATGCACCGGACCTCCGACATTCCCCAAGGAGTCCCGGATTGTGAGAGGGCGCAGGCCAAGGGACCCCACCGGTGCACGAATCCATGCACTGGGCCTCTAGTAAGAATATTAAACAAAAAAAAATAGGTAAAAAAATCTGACAATGCTGGTTTTCACAATTGTTAGTTCTAAAGAAACAATCATTTTTATGTGGTTACAAATATATTCACTCACCTGAATACTTAAGGAAATGTAATTGTTATTAATATAGCAAGTAGTGAACAAAAACTTAAGGATACATTCGTATAGCACCTGTTCTCGTCCCAATAGCCAAGATTTTCTGAACTGGATCAAAAGCTAATGCTGTGGGCTGATAAGGAAAACCATGCCGAACTGTCTGAGAGAGAGGAAATAGTAAAAATAGTCATCAGAAAAATGAAAATCACAAATACCACTATCCAACCACTAGGATGATTAAAATAATATTCTCTTTTCAATTAAAAAAAAAAACCTATCACAAAATCTTGGTAGGAGTGTAAAATGACACAACCATTTTGGAAAAATGTCTTGCAATTTCTTATGAAACTAAATATATATTTATCCTATTACCTAGAAACTCCACTCATATGTATGTACCCAAGAAAATAAAGAACATATGTACAATATAATCCTATATAATGAAAGCCTAATATGCTAAGTGTCCAGTTGACTGGTCAGCTATTCAACCAATCAAAGCATAATATGCTAATGACATGCTAAGGCTGCTCAACTGCTTGCTATGACGTACACTGAAAACCAGGGAGCAGTCAGCCCATCCACCAGTCGCTATGATATGCACTGACCACCAAGGGGCAGATGCTCCAACTGGTAGGTTAGCTTGCTATTGGGGTCTGGCCAATTGGGACTGAGCAAGATGGGCCGAACACCCCCTAGAGCCCTCCCACGGTCCCTCCCCGCTATCCAACCTCCCACGTCCCTCCCCGGCCCTAATCATGCACCAGTGGGTTCCCTCAGCCTGGCCTGCACCCTCTCGCAATCCAGAATGCCTCGGGTGATGTCAGAGAGCCAGTTTTGGCCCGATCCCACAGGCTAGGGCGAGGGACCCTACTGGTGCATGAGTTCATGCACAGGCCTCTAGTAATTAGTATAAGTAAAGCCTTAACAAATTTATATACAACAAACTAGAAACAGCCAAGATGTCCAACAACAAAAGAATAAAAAACAACAACTGTCATATACTAATAAAATGGAATACTACTAAACAATTAAAAACTACTGACAGATGCAACAACCTGGATGATTCTCAAAAACATTATGCTAAATTTAAAAAAAAGCAATATGCAAAAGAGTGCATATAGTATAATTACATTCATATTGAATTTTGAACAAGTAAAACTAAAATATGATGAAAAAATTCAGATCAGTGGTTGACCTGAGCAGCACTGACTGGGAAAGGATATGAAGGAAATTTACTGAGTGAAGTAATATTCTCTATATATATTTTTAAAATATTTTTATTGATTTCAGAGAGGAAGGGAGAGGGAGAGAGAGATAGAAACATCAACGATGAGAGAGAATCACTGATCAACTGCCTTCTGCATGCCCCCTACGGGAGATCCAGCCCACAACTCGAGCATGTGCCCCTGATGGGAATCGAAACCGGGACCTTCCGTCCGCAGGCTGACACTCTATCTACTGAGCCAAACCAGCCAGGGCATATTCTATATTTTGATAGAGGTTTGGGTTACATCAAAATTCAAAATTTATAAATGGTTCAATTAAATTTGTGATTTCTATGTATGAAATTATACCTCAAAAAATACAAATCATTATAAAATAATATAATGTTCACATGCATATTGAAGTTTTAAGAGGTAAAGTGTGCTGATATCTGCAATTTACTTTAAAATGCATCAAAAAAAGTAATATGGATAGATGGGTGGATACATGGATGATAAAATAAATACAGCAAAATGATAACTATCAAATCTACGTAATGAGTATGTATGTATGTATGTATATATATATGTATGTAGGTATTCACTTGTATTTCCCTAGCAAAATAAAGCAGATGAGTCAATAATAATTAGCCTCTGCTTCTATATAAATGATTCTTAGGAGTAGAACAAGATAGTGAAAAATAATCCTTCATTAGCTTTAGGACTAGGAACAGAGCAGTCACATTTGTATTAAATGGAGCGGAATAGAATTATGAAACTAAAGCCCTGATCATATACTAAAATTGTTACAATGACCATCATGATAGTTCAAATGATATCTTTAGATTGGACTTGATTCCTCTGCCAAACTCTGGAATAAGTACTTTTGGCGGACAACAAAGAGCAAAGCCAAATCATGATTCAAGACTCATCAACATTATCACAACTGTAAAGATTACTTTGATCATGATAATAACATGCCCTGGAAATAAGGGTGTATATCAAGGGAAATAGGTGATTTGCAGCATTATTTCCTTCTTAAGCCACTGCCCCCATTTTAAAATGTCTGAAGTTAAGAGCTATCAGCCAAATACAGAATGTGGAAAATTCTGTAAGACAAATGATCTAGTTTCTTCAATTATCAATAGCATGGGGGGAGGGAGAGAAAGGGGAACTATCATAAATTAAAAGAATCTTAAGGGAGGTCTTAGTATAAAAGCATGAATAGTGCACACTGAAAACAATAAATGTAGAGATAACTTTTAATATTTATTCAAATTAATATATTTAAATTTAATTTAAGTAGACAAGCTAAAAATAATGCAAAAATCAAGGACAGTTTCTAAGTTGAAAAGCTCTTATAAAATTAACACTGACATAACAGCTCAGAATTACTAGTATACCAATAAAAGGCTTAATAGGAGTAACAGTATAGGATGAAAGTATGCTAAACATCACATCTTAAAATGAAGTTAAAAAGTAAGCAAACATCAGACCCAAAATATTCCATTCATTTCAAACTTAACTCTGACAATTAAATAAGTAGGAATTAAAGATTGGTTTAGAAAAATCTGAAAGTAACCACTAAATCAATTCACACACAACTCTGTGTATGTGTGTATTGTTTTCCTCAACACACATAAAATAAACATATATCCCTCATCACTGGAAAAGGGATATAAAACATATAGCAAGAAGAAAAACAAAAAGCATTAAAATAAATGTCACAAAATCCACATATTGTACGATTTCATTTTTGAGAAATGTCTAGAATAAACAAATCTATACAGACAGAAAGTAACTTAGTAGCTTCCTAGATAAAAGGGTGAGAAAAGAAGATTGGAGGGTAACAGCCATATTTGGGGATAATAAAAATGTTCTAGAATTAATTGTGGTGATGGATGCACAACCCTATGAATATATTAAAAACCACTGAAATGTATATTTAAAATAGATGAATTGTGTGATTTTGAATTATACCTCAATTTAGCTGTTAAAATATATAAAATAAAATTCAAACAGTAAGGAGAGAATGTAGATTAATTACAACACACATAAATGAGAGAAATTTCAATACTAAAATACTAATTTTAAATATACATCTCGAACCTCAGAGGGAAGGTAGGGGAGATTGGGTGGTTGGGAAGAGATCAACCAAAGAACTGGTATGCATATATACATAACCCATGGTCACTGACAATAGCGTGGTAAAGTCCTGGGGTGGGAGGTGTGGGCCGGCTAGAAGAATTCAATGGCGGGGAGAAAAGGGGGACATATGTAATACTTTCAACAATAAAGATTTAAAAATAAATAAAATAAAATGAAAAAATAAATATACATCTTCTTTGACTAAGCAACTCAATTTCTAGGAATGTACATACAGGGAAGGCATATATATAGGGAGTTTATTACAACATGTAATAATAACTGACTTTTAAATTTTAAATGTCTACCTATAAGGGACGATAGAATAAATTATGGCACAGCCATATCATTGAATGCTTTACAACTCATAGAAAGAATACAGTAGGCCTGTATGGAATGACAGATAAGATATATTGTTAAGGAAAAAAGTACACTAAAAAGTATGTATATTATACTATAATTTTTGCTATGGGATAAAACCATATTTACATATATATGCAATAATTATCTCTGGAAGGATATACAGAAGATTGATAACACTGATTGCCTCCAGGAAGAGAAACTGTTAGACACTTACCTAAGCATGTATTAACAAGAGGAAGACATTCAATCTGTGTTAAAAAGCAAAATCTAGAGTGGCAATAGCATCACAGTGAAATGAGAAAACTCTTTGTAACAAACTTTAAATCTACAACTAATCAGACATCCACAATCCAACAAAGATTCCTCTGCTCAACACACTAGCATAATTGAGGGAGCCACACATTGGTACATCTGAAGTGGGTGTATTGGAACACCTAAGGGAGACAAAAGGGAAGACAAAGACAGTACCTGCCATCATGGCTGAACCCACCACCCCAGTGAATGCAGTAGCATTAGAGGCGTCAGGGTGCAGTCCCACACTACTGTCTGGTGGAGAGTAAGAGTAGAGAAGAAGCAGTCTTGGCACCTGAGAATCCAGCTCCCTCTCCTGACTAACTGTGGCAGAGCCTCAAGAGCCTCATAGCTGCAGCTGGAATGTGTCTACAGTACAGCAGCTCCAGCAGCCATATGGAACCAGGAGGCAACCAGATCTCCATCAGGAACCCAGATCTCCATCACCCACCACATTCCCCCACCACTGATATCAAACTATACTGCAAAGCAACAGTAATCAAAACAGCATGGTACTGGCATAAAAACACATATAGATCAGTGGAACAGAAAAGGGAGCCCAGAAATCAACCCATGCCTGTATGGTCATTTGATACTTGACAAAGGAGTGAAAAACATACAATGGAGTAAAGATAGTCTATTCACTAAATGGTGTTGGGAAAACTGGATAGATAAATGTGAAGAAATGAAACTAGATCACCTTCTTACACCATACACAAGAACAAACTCAAAATGCATTATAGACTTAAAGACTCAAAACCATATAAATTCTAGAAGAAAACTTAGCAATACTTTTTCTGATGTATCTCCTCAGGCAAGGGAAATGAGAAAAAATAAACAAATGGCACGACATCAAACTAAAATGTTTTTGCACAGCAAAGGAAATGATTAACAAAATGAAAAAAACAACCTGCTGAATGGGAGAACATATTCACCAGTGATAAATCTGAAATGGGTTAACATCCAAAACTTGCCCTGGCCATGTGGCTCAGTTGGTTGGAGTGATGTCCCACACACCCAAATTTTGTGGGTTCGATTCCTGGTCAGGGCACATACCTAGGTTGCAGGTTCATCCCCTGGTTGGAGTGCATATGGGAAGCAACCTATCAATTTTTCTCTCTAAAATCAATAAAAATATATTCTCAGGTGAGGATTAAAA